ACATGTCACAAGATAGGATCACCAATCACGTATCATATTACATCAGACTTCCTCATTTCTTAGGTCATCTCTTCAGCTCTAGTCTAGGGCCAACATGCCTCCAAGGATGTTATACCATAGTCCTATGTCTGAGACCTATGTCTAGCCCAAGAGCTCAAGAGCTGGCCCTGGAAATAGTCTGGTATCTAGGCTAGTTCAACACTGTACCACCATGATAGTCCTATCTCTGGTCCCATCTTCCTTGTCACTCACCAGGTTAACCCATAAGTTTGTATCTGTGCTCCCATCTGACCTACAGATGTGGGGATTTCCAGTCTTGTTCTGGCTGGCTGGGAAAGGTTTTCGACCCTTTGTGTTTTTCTATCCGCCCTGAGTTACATGTATACAGAGTCTGCACTCTGTAGTGGTGGGCAAACAGGAAACAACTTGGACAGGCCAGGTTCAGTACGGCAGACTGTAGTGCAAGTGTGGCTTATGGTGTACAGGTCACCCAAGTGATAGGCACTCTTTCAAGTCTTCCATCAAGCATTCAACATACAAATATGATTCATGTTTTTAGTATACGCATACCCAAATAGATATGCTGTTTTTTGGTCATCTTTGGAGCACTGTGTGACAAAGATTGAGTTTTGGTTGATACGGAATATAAGTAAGCTGCTTGTGCAGAACCACTGTTAACCAGTCTAGTTGGAAGCAGGAATAAATTTCTCTCTCAGCAGATTATGTGAGGAAAGATCATAGCAATTTTTTGTAAAAATACTAAAATATTGAACTTTATTTCAACACGAAGATGACACAGAGATCAAATTTTCAAGGACCATTGTCGCCTTCATCTGGATTATTTCAATTACAAGGGTTGTGTGTAAATAATGTCACTCTAATGTAAAAAAAAAAACAGGGCACAGTTTGAGAATGTTTTGATCATCCTTTCTAACATCTGCTTTGCTGTTGTGAGGATGCCAGTTGTCAGGGAGTGCAGACAGCTGTTATCTCCTCTCCCAGGTGTTAGGAGGAGGGATGCTGACAGATGGATCCACCAGGATATACAAACACACCAATTGAGAGCTGATCCAAAGCTTCTACCATCTTTCCAAGCTGCTTTGGGTGGATTTTCTAGCCCCAAGCTACAGGCATTTGTCTGGAATACCTCTTTAGTCAAATCTGATGGATTGGATGGGAGTGGGGACAATTGTTGGAGACAAAACAGATGAAACCAATGATAGGATAAGGTGGCTTCCAGCCAAGCTGATTTGTCGGTCCATCATAATCCCAGGTCTGCTGGTTAGCCTGGAGACACAGATGCCTGAAACCTCAATCGTAGCCTGGAGTCAGCAGACTCTTGGGACAGCACTGAAATCTTCTAAATCATCTCATGGCCCCAAGCTGCTGCAAAGTACATTTTCACAGTGGATTTCCATGATCTAGTCTTAAGTACAGAGAGAAGTGTAGATTTTGTCAGATTTGCGTGAACCTTTGCCTAAAGCTTTAGACTTAGTTTTCAGGAGCAATGCATCCTGGGGGAATTTTTTTATCATGTGGCTGAGAGTAGCAGACTCACATTCTTTGCACATACTTCAACTTTGCTGTATTATCAACTATATCTTTTAAAATCTAATGCAAAGTGCTGAGCAGTGGAAAAAAGTATACTTTCCCTGCATCCAACTTTGTACTTACTACATTAAAAGTCAGCAGGGATGCGAGATGGTTCTCCAGGCAATACTGACCATTTTGAAATGCATTCACTACCTCAGTACGTGTTGTATGAAAGATACAGAAAAGATACAAAATGCTACAGTCATCAAGTATCGGCCTTGCCATTCTGTTCCTGCTTCAGAAAATTCCTCATGTTGCAAACAGTATTATTACAGCACCAATGCAGTGTGCACAAGAGTGTAGGTTTATTTATGTTAGACTGGATGAAACTCTAGATCCGGGCGAACAGTTTACAGGCCTCAGGCTGCTGCACATGGGAACACATAACCTGTGCTTGTTTGTTTATCTTACCTGAGTGACAGGCTTCCCTGGTACCTGTAATTAACAGGAGATAATCAGTAAGGGGAGGTTGTTCCTGTCAGGTCTCTCTCATTTGGACCCCTTCTCAGACAAAAAGGGAAGGGGAAAGGACACTAATTAGGTTTGGTGAATTATAGACACTTCAATTAAGAACCAGTTGCCAAAGTACTTACAAGTTACAGTAAAATTTAGGAGTTTCTTTTAAGTTTTAAATCTTCAGGTGTTACAAGTGGACATTTTGTTCTGTACAGCCGTAAATTTTGTAAACAGTACATTTGTATGTCAGGCTTTAGTCTCCCAAAGTTGTTATCTGTGTTTCTGTAATGTGGGTTAAGAGCCAACTCATGTATGCCTTACCCTTCTTGTTGTGGGTTTGTCCCAGAAAAGGTTGAGCTGGCAGAACTAAGTCAGGATTAAGTGTAACAAGAGCGACTGTGTGAAGGCTGTCTGCATGCCTCCTGCAAAGTCGCCATGTTTACACAAAGTGCACTTACCTGTAAGCCTGGTGTTTACCCATAGTTGACTCACCTGTGGGTGCTGCGGTATGTCTCCCCGTAGCCACTCACCTGTAAGCCATTCACCTGTGTGTTTACCTGTAATTTTTCACAGACTTCCTATAAACCAGGTATCTAATTCCAATTCTCATTACCCATGGTTAACCTTCTCCTACTGAGGTAGCAGTTTGGTACCAAATTTGCATTTGTTGTAAGATTAGGCAACAGGGAGAAGGTTAATGCTGTAATTGTTCTACCTGGCCTCCAGTACCCCCTCCCCCACAGTCTCCTAACACAAAGAGATAATTCGTCAACTCCAAAGCAAGAGCTAGTTAGTATTCTGTGGGGATTCCGTCTTTCCTGTAAAAGGGCAACCTGAATAGCAGCAAAGTCAGAGATTTAAGGCGGGTATTTCAGGCTGAATGGAAAGAGCTTAAAAGCTTTATGTATTCTTGTTCGGTTGGAAAATAAGTAGGCTGGGGATACATGCATGCAGTTATTACATGAGAAGTTTAGATAGCTGTGAGACAAGATAGATCTAGTGACAAGTATAACAACAGTGTTCAAGAACTGTATCTTCCTGGATAAGATTTCTGCGCTTGTCAAGACATTGTTTTGATATTAAAACATGAATAAGCTGGTTATGGCGTAGAGGATTTTTTTCCTTCAATTGTCAATTAGCAACAATTCTAGGTTTTGGAGTGTTGGCTTTATCTCTGTCACTGAGAGAAGTGAAGCAAAACTTCCCAAACTTGCAAGTGTGCCGAAACCTGGGGCTCTTCTTTATGTTACTGCTCAAGCCTATAAACATCTCTGCCACATTTATACACACAGACCACTTAAGTCTCCAGTGAAGATTGTTTTAGGTGACCTTTCTTCAAGTCTGTGTTTCTTAAATATCCGCTTCCTCTGGTCGGTCTACACTTTTATACAAGGAAGATTTGTTTGAGATATCTTTCTTCAACAAGCTTGATATTTACAAAGACATCCACTTGCACTGTAGTACTGGTTCTTCTTTAGTTTCAGTTTATTTATCGCTCTCACATTTCCTAGAACATGTAGCATCAACAGAGGGGAAGATGTTCGGACGCCTCGCAGACAGTTGTTTATGTTGAAATCCTCTGACAGAGTGTAAACTATAAACTGTGAGATATGCCTCTTCATTATACAGGGCTAAGTTGTGTTGATGTCTTCTTTATATCTGAGACAACAGTTCCGTACAGTATACATAACGTCATTAGCCTTTCAAAGCATTAGTTAATGCTGCAGTCATACTAAGACCCTTACCTGTTTCAGACACTGTTTAGAAACATGCCCACGAACATGTCTCTTGCGTGCAAAGAGGAAAGGTATACAGTAGCCACATTACACCATTACCAGTGGGTAGCTATGATTGAGCACCAGCAAGTTTTCACTAATGGCCTGTAAGAAAATCTTTGCTGTCACCAAAAAGTAAGCTTGGCTACTTTAATGCTAAACACTCTCGTTAGCTTTTGACCTTGTACGACATTGGCTGACCTGTCGTGTGTGTGTGGCAGGGGCAGATAGTGCCAAATGCACACGAACTTTCAGGGTGGGCTGGGACTGTATCAGTGCCGAGTGTATTAAGAGAATGGCGGCCGCTTTACATGATAGACAGTCAATTTTCGGTGCTATTGCTCCTGTATACTGCGTGTGAATAGGAAGGGTTGACCATTGTCGGCTAGTATGGGAGGGGGGCTAGCCTGTTGTTCCCAGTGACAAGTGTTGCCCCTCCTCACTTGAGATTCATGGCGGCATTGTCTGAGCAAAATGGTCTTTCCGGGTTATTGTGGACGGGATCCACTGAAGAGTATGCTATTCTCTCTACAAGCCCAGCACATCTGCATGTCCAAACAGACCTACATCAGTGATAATCTGTATTTCCCTCTCTTCCAAGGTTGGGGTTTGAAAAAGGCGGAAAAGATTTGCCTCCTATGTCTGGGGAATGTGTGGATGAATGTACCAAAAGAAGTGCTGATGTTCAACTTGTATAACAGCTGCCAAGTCAGGATTATGAGAAGAAAGAGCAAAATATAATAGCAAGCAAAATAGCAATCAAGAAATACAAACACTGGTTGGGTGGTCTTTGATCACCAGTATACAAAGTTCAAATAGGCTGAGTATCTCTAAAGCTGTTGTCTTTCCACCTCATTCCACAATTGTGGTTGTGTAGTGAAAGCTCTTATATGGTGTATAGAAAAAGTGACATTTTTAGAAGCCTCTACTTACAACATTAAAGTATGAATCTGAGATTTTGTCGCAAAAAAAAATGATCCTATCGAAAGTACTGAACTTACCCATTTTTCTGTCTTCATCATCTTCACTGCATTTTTCTGTACCATACCAAGTCATATGTACTGTTGATCTGGGAATGAAAATATTGATTTACTTTGATAAGTAGTTGTGACATTGACTTAAATTTCTGTGTACAAGTTCAGCATTAACTCACTCCCGTTGTCCTGTGTTTTACAGCAAGAGAACCTGTACGCGTGCAGACGTGGCTGCCGGCTTTTCTCTATCGTGGAGTTCATCGGGGAGAGTCGAGACCTGAACGCAACAAAGGATGCATGTGATGCGGGTAAGTCACGTGGTCCTCTGAAAACAATGCACAAAATGTTTTGATAAAGCTTTCAGGAAACAAAATGTTTCACCAATGAATCATAGCTTTAAACGGTGTATAGAGTTAGATGTTCGAGGGTTAGGTGTAATACGTCGTTTGGTATAACGTAGCCAGCTGCCGCCTTGCCGCAAAGCTGGTGTGTTACTGTTACGCCGAAGGGGGGGTTATACCAGCTATACAGATAAAGATACAGATTGTGTTCCAATGAAACTTGAATATAACTGTTTAGAGTACTGCTAGCTTATACCTGGTGTTCTCATCAAGTTCTGGTAAAGCCACGTCTTTCCTACCCACAGGAAGCATCCCTGCAAAAAAGCTTCCTAATCTGTTAGACATAAGCTGGGGACTTTGATGTCGGGACCATGTTTGCGCAAAATAATGTACTTCCCAGCAGAGAGTTTCGTCTCAGTGGTGATGTTGGTACCGGGAAGGCATTAACTTATCCCCCCGCTGGGAGCAGTGGTATGATCCGAAATCCAGGTAGACAGCCCTGGACCTGCCCCCTCCCCCCTGGGGTGGTGTTTAATGGGGATTTTAGGGCTCCCTCTGTGCAGAAAATCACAGACATGGCACATAACTCATATCCGCATCCATATTTCTGCATGTAATGGCAGCGAAAGGCCTCTCTGCATTCCTGTCTTTGTTGTTGTCGGAAAAAGAAATTACAGGCCAAAAAGCAAATTAAATCAGCCTTAGTTGATATCTTCAGTTCTCGGTCTTACTATGAAATATATCATATAATGATTTGGCAAGCAAAATCTAGATAGGTTGAAGGAATTCTCAACTGATGGGATAAGTTATGATAAGTTTGTGCATATTTACGGGCCATATATGACCAAAATGCATCATTTTAGCGAGTGTGTTTTATCACTCCCAATTGCCAGGTTGATGGATTCCCCGGTTTGATACATTTTTCCAACTTACAAGATAAACCTTTTGAGTTCCTGACCCACGAGTGACTCCTCTGGTGAATGGATGGAGAACCACTAATGGCGGCAGGTCAGGATGTGAAAGGTGTCTGACCCGTGTGCGCCCCCCTCCCCATGCATAGAATTCCTGCCTGATGCCACTGTATATTTCCTACCAGGGGGTCCATTGTAGGCAGGTGGCCTCCCACAGGGACCAGTTAAAACTGTACAAAACAGTCATCAAGTCCATTTCATGCACATCACAAACACTGGGTACCTGGGCCTGTTATTACTAAAACAACTACCCTCCCCTCTCCCCTGATTATTATACCAGCAGGAGTCGAGGTATGCACATGCATGTAGCTGTCAGGGGAAGGGAAATGGAAATCCAGGTGCACTTAGAGTTGATCATACATTACATGTATACTGGATTCACTAGAGACAGACAGGGAAGCCTGTAGTTAGATAAATTTGAAAGTTTACAAATACCTCTTCATCATTCATCATATAGAGGGGAAACATTCTAGGGCTCTCCCCAACCAATGGAGCAAAGGTGCTCCCCCTCTTCCCAAAATCCTAGAACCATTCCCACAATGTTCAAATTTAGGGTTTTCCTTTAGTATTTACATGAAAATTCACTGATTTTTCATCAACCGATTAGGGAGCACCTCTCCCCTCAGAATTTATTGGGAGACCCCTACACTCACATAATTTTCTAATGGAATAAAAAAGATAAAACAGTAGAATCCGTACAATACTGCAATTCCTTCCAAAAAAAGTTGTGCCAAAGAAAGACCCTTATTCACTCACAATATATATACACAGACTAGATCTACTTATGCTGTGGAAACAAAAGTACCCCGGTACCTGTATTCTTGTAGGTACAATGTTTGAAATTGAGTTTGCAGCTGTTTGCCAATGTTGATGGGCAAGTAGATTTAATTTAAGGCCAGTCTGTGAATACAAGTTGTTTTTACAGAAACTTTGATTCATCCAACAACTGGATCTGCATATCTGACGTGCCAAATTTGTGTTCTACTTCTAACATCTGTTTAACAGCAGTGTGTGTGCAGTTATCACCAGCCAACATGATGAATCCTGGAGTGTAGGTTTATGTTCTGAGGAAAAAGACACTGTAGACCCTCTATTTATGTGTTTCTCAGGAAAAAGACAGTATATTTGTATTTCTATGTGTCTCTGAAGAAAAAGGCTACGTATTTCTGTGTATTTCGAGGAAATACATTGTATCTCTGTGTGTTTCTGGGGGAAAAGATGTTGCATTTTGTGTGTTTCTAACTCTGAGGAAAAAGACAATGTATTTCTGTGTGTTTCTAAAGAAAAAGACATTGTATTTCTGTGGGTATCTGTGCGTTTCTGAGGATAAAGACGTATTTCTGTTTTTCTGTGTGTTTCTGAGGAAAAATACATGATTGTATTTCTGTGTGTTTCAGCATGTATGGAGGCTTACAGACATGTGGATGACAGATATGGATGCAGTATTGGCTGCCGCTCACAGGTGCCTTTCGCCCGGAAGAGAAAACAACAGGTTTGTTTGTTTTTGTTTACTGTTTATAGTAACATAGAAGGCTAGGTTGATCCAGCATGTAAATGTAAACAAAGGTGCACAAATATATTTTGACTGATAAATGGCGTATGAAAAGCACAGGTTTTTTTTTCAGGTACCTAAACTAGAATCGTACTGTTAAATCCTTTAGTTGTTAGGTTATACATTGCAATTTAAGACAACACTAAAGAGTATGAATACTGTCCATTTGGGCCTGGCTAGTGTCACATTTACGCATCACTCCACTTGGAATGTAAGCCTTGCACGATAGGCAGAAAAACATACCTCTCTAAGTTTGTAATCGAAACTTTGCAATACTGTTTTCCTGTGTTGGGGGAATTTTTAATAAGGATATCAGGTGAATTCAATATCCCTGTGTTAGTGCGTGTAAGCTCCTGCAAATATTGGTTGAGCAGCGAAATGTTTTTCCCGTGTTTAGGGAATATGTGGAGCAGGTATCAGTATCAGAACTCAGTAATGAACTCCCACAAATTGTGATTGACTGGCAAAACTTTCTGCTACTCTTTTCCTGTTTTCTGAGAAATTATGAAACATGAAAGTGATCCAAATATCCCTTCTAACAGTAATAGGCTGTCAAATTTTGATGGATCAACAGAATTTTGTGTCTTTCCTGTGTTCTGAGATTTTTTTTTCATACGAATCATAGATATGAACTGAATTCAATATCCCTTTGTAACATAATAAGCTGTCCTGAATTTGATGGAACGAGGAAACTTTGCACCGCAAGTTTGCAGTGTCTGGGATTTTTCAGGAGGGATATCAAATGAACCCAATATCCCTTTGCACAGTAATAAGCTGCCGCAAATTTTGATTGAACGACGAGGCCTCTAAAAGCGGTAATAACTTCTCCACCTGTCGTCAGAGTCACGTTCCACGCGGTAATGTTTCAGTCCGATAACATAATAGATGACATCAATTATAACGGCGTACGAATTTATGTTGGCCATGTTTAATTCATCTCAGACTAACCTTTTATTTATGAGGACATTTAAAGACTTTAGGTACTGGCCAGTGTTTTTACTCTGCCATCATTTCATGCATGACATCACTCCGGAATAATGATGAGAATATATATTCATAAATCAGATGCGCCCTCCTTTGTTTGCAGCCTTTATCGATTTCATGCTTTTGTGATTGTATTAAATGGTGTCAAATTAGGTTTATCCTGATAGTCAGAAAACAAAAGACTTATGCAATAGGCACTGATGTGAAGTATAATGATATTTCCATACTTTTGTGGTTTTGCTGAGGTTGTAATTGTGTTAAGTCATGTCCAATAAATTATCCTCTGAATTCAGAAAGCAGAACTGCTATTATAGTCATATAAGATGAGTTCCTGATGTGAGATAATGATGGAAAATTCTAATCATTCTCAGACTTTTATGACATTTCTCCTTGCGAATGTGTCAAGATGTCTTTAGGAAAATCTTCTCTGATATTCAGAAAATCAAGGCAGTATAAGATGGTGACTTGATGCATAATATCAATGATGAAGAGACAATCTGATTATGTCGGAACTAGTTATGTTTTTATGCAGTAGTAATTGCATCAAGTCAAGTCGAATATTGTTGCTGATATATCCCAGCGCTCAAAAACATAGAACATGAATCCGAGCAGTGAGATGGTTACCCTAAGCTGAGTAATAGCAGAAAAGCATGAACATAAATCCCAAGAAAATATATGATCCTATCACCAAACTGCTGGTAATGTAATTTCCTGCAGTTGAGAAATGTCAGCCCGTGTCATGTCAAGTTAGACCTAATCTGTATCCCCACACATAAAAACTTCAGCAACTTTTAGGTGATATTTACAGAAGGAAGATGGATCTCTAATGCCTTATAGACCTCACCAGGCATAAATCGAAAACTGGATTCCAGAAGAAGGCTGGGAGGTGAGGGGAAGTGGGCCGCATCCATCTTCCCTGGGAAGGTCTCCCACTGGAGTTTGCTTGGTATCCCATAGGAGTTACACCAGCTGCTGCCCTGGACATCCAAATTACAGCGGGAATGAGGCGTCGTAATTACCGCTCCAGGTTGATGAGGGTTGGGAGTTGAGCATATTCTGTAGGGGGAAAAAATTTAGTTTGTTCCTCCGCTGCAGAGGAATAATTATGTGATTAGTAAGCTTCGATAATGACTTAAACAATCGTAGAAAATGTATTTTCATTTTTCATGAATGTTAATTCTGGAAATTTGATCAAAACTCTGTAGAAAGCCACAAAAACTCTAACAATGACTCATCTACCGAAGTTTTGCCTGTATCCATGTGGAATTCGAGTGATTAATGTCCCATATTAGACCACTTCTTGTCAATGTGACCTTTAACATTTGGTAATTTCCTTCGATGATTGCCCAAATGGCAAGTTGTCTTTCTCATGATTGTGTGACGACCATGATGCTTTCATTAAAGCTATGTTGTTCCCAACTGTAATTACAAACCACAAATGTTACTTCATTAGTGTCGGGTGTACAGTCAGCAGATTATTCCAGTCCACTGATTACAGCGGTGTGACATTGGTGTCAGGTGTGAACCTAGCAGATTATTACGCACCTCCAATTACAGCAATACTCCTCATGTAGCGACAAGTTGACTTTCTTGTTCGCTGACATTCAACGCTAAATATCAGCATCATGTCTGATTAGGTCTATGTATGGAGGGAATGACTGTGAAGTTTTTAAAGTTCAACGTTTTTCAGGCCTGTCTCTGGTGTTGTACATGTACACTCCTGTCCCTATTAGTACTGTGTAAGCTAAGTTTTGCCTGGATTGCATACATTTATTTATCCTTTTTTCAGCTTACTTGCATCAACTCATTGAGTGACCTAAGGCCTGAGAATAAAATGAAGAGAGTCCTAGAAAAATTGATATACTTATAAGATGTAACAACATTTTTCTTTTGAATTGGCCACAAGATTTTAGTGAGAAAGACAGGTTGAACATGCGGACAATACCTTGATATATTACCTTTACATATTGATGTGCCAAGAAAGCGTACCACAATCCATGAGTGTCACAAACCGGAATCTTACAATAAATCATACGTGTGCAGAAAAGCCTGCATTATAGGGTATCTTCAACCAGAACAACAGGTAGAAGATGTTATATGCAGAGAATCACTTGCATGTTACATGTATATGGCCACATAGAATACCAGCTTTCTACTTGGCTACTCAGGATGGCAGTGTTGAAGGATGGCTGTTCCATTGTGTTGATGTCATTGAACAGGACCTTACAGCCTGCCCAGTGTTAGTATGTAGACCATGTCTTTGGGGCAGGACCCTGCACAATCCATATAGATCCCTGCAAAATTGCCTTGGGATCAAATTACAGGGTGGTTTGATATGAAAGTGATACCTAACAAAAGCGTTGGGCCGGCATAATGCCTGCGCTCCCGCCGAGCGTCCGTGGTTTAATGACTTGTTACAAGTAGACATGATATCATCACGCAGCTCTCTGAAAGACAGACTATGGGCAGCTTTACCCGCGGGCAGTGAGAAATTGGCACGCGGCATCCCGGACTCCGCTCGGTAAAGACTGGGGGATTGGGCGCTGCATTAGCGATGCCAGCAGGGCTTTGGGCGGCTTAGATTGTCTTCGACTCCTGTCTACCTGAGTGGTGCTGTAATATCCTGGGCTGTCCTGGGCTGCCCCGGTACCACCAATATAATAGGATGGCCTACCCCGGTGGAAGTATTGACAGATACTGATAACTTGCCTCAATACCTGCTCGTGTTTCATACCCACCCCCCAAAAAAATCTGTACCATACAACAGTGCTCAACATTGCCCTGTTGTTATCATTTACTCTGACATTGTGTTGAAATCATTAATACCATCCATGATTTATTTCTGCTGTATTGTCTATGAATGACAACGTCCAAATGAACACTTCTTGTGTAGTTTTAAACCCATGTGCTGAGATGCCCTGCACTTCCACATCCAATCCTTTGTTTTCACTCACCACCTTATGAAACCTGGAGAAAATACGTCCAATTAAAGCTGAGCTGTCTTGGGTGAGAAAGATAAAGTACTAGGCTTTATCTTGTCAAAACAGGAACTGCAGCACCACAGGCTATATGCACATCAATATCCATAAGGAGTGGCTGAAACAAAGCCAAGATATCCAGCCTGACCCTACCACCAGTGCTGTATTCAGAATAAACATGGCACACTCCTCCTAGATCAAACCTAAATCCCTCCGAGTGATAACCAGATTATTTCCTGGGAACGTAGAGTGCAGGTAGTGCATTAGGCTGGGTTTGGGGAAGCAGTTTGTTTCCCGTGTGTCAATAGATATCAAGCATGTATTTGACCAAGGAGCAAAGTACTCATATGTGCATTTATGTTATTACCTGCAAGGTGCATTTTCAGGGTGAATGGGGTGCAGTTCCGCTGTAAAATGCCATTATTGTAGAACAAAATCGATGGTACACTTTTGGTGGAAAGCAAATATGCCCGCATCAGCGCATGGATTTTGGAGCCGCTCCAGCAGTGACTTTGTGAATTCTAACACTAGTAATAGAGAAATTTGGGATGTAATTGCAAGCATGGTTAGAGGTTTCTATTTTCACTGGATACAGGCCAAATCTGCATCTGATATTACCTTTAAATCCATTTTAACTAACACGTATAAGCAAGATTTGTGTTTCAGTACAACAAGAAAATGGTAATACTCAGTTGGTGAATGATTCCATAATAAATTCAGTTTTACCCGGGTATTCTACAAAAACCTTCCAACACAGCTATCTGACCTTGCTAACAACAAGGGGAAGTGGAGGAAACTTGCAGTCACTTGCATAGTAGCCGACCGATGCCTTCCTACAATGTCTATGCACTACATTTAGATACTGTAGGTAAACCGTATGCTCACAGTTGTAAGTAAGAATTGTTGTCTCTTTTTTGCAGCGTGATGAAGAAGTCCAGAAGATCCACTTCCTGACCCCGATGATGATGGTGCGGAACATCTACAGCGACTTGCTGAGCCGTGCCCAGAACTACATGTCTGTCTCCTGGTCCCTCTACATGCAGTCAGACAACGGCAAAATCATCGTTCTCAAGGTACAGAATCTATCCTGCTTCATCATTTTTATGTGGAGTTACGTACAGGGCTCTAGCCAGCTCAAAAATTTTTCTGTCAGCTCAGGTTCATGATTGAACCTGGGGAGAGAGTGCCCGCAATCTATGGGGGGTCTAGGAAAAATTTTGAATTTTGCAATTTCCATCATTTTGAGAGGCAGATCATGGGGTTGAAAGTGGTTGACAGTGGTCCTTTGTATGTTTTTATATTTTTGCCCAAGAATTTTGTCAATTTTGTCTATCAAGGTTGACGGATTGGTTAAAAAAAATTCTGTCACACGCCGCAACCGTCAGTGAGGCAAAATTCCTGCAATTGATGGAAAAACAGGTGCTGGCTAGAGGCCTGGTTATGCAGCAAGAAATCTAAAAATTCCTGAGCTTTAATTTACAAATGTCCAGGCATGTTTTGTCGTAACAAGAAAAATTTAACCAAGATCTTCAAGACGTGTAAAAATTCAACCACAGGTTCAGGTAACCCCACTGCACTGTAGATACATAGTGATGATTGCCAGCTTTAGGAATATCAAAAGATAAGATTCTCACGCCCTAAAATATCATGTGGTAGCAAAGTCGTACATCCATGGACGTTTTCCTCCTATAAGTGTGTAGAAATCACTATTGTGTTAGACATTATTATGGGTTCACCACACCACGAAGTGGTGTGGTGAAACCATATTGCTTTTTCTGATGTTTCTTCTCCTTCTCCTTCTCCTCCTCCTCCTCCTCCTGCCATATCTTTAAATGGATTCAGCTTCTTCATTTTAGGGCCTAAGGTCCTGAAATTTGGTATGGAGGTACAGTGGGCAAATACCCCTAGGCGTTTTTTAAATTATTGTGATACAGGCTTTTAGAATGGTTTTATTTGAGTTTTTTGGCTGTGTTATAGCAAATGTATTACTGTGTTAGTCTGCCTTGTTTACCACGTTTGGGCATGAGTCATCAGAATGGAATGCAGGGCATCAACCAATAGGCATGCAGCTTTCCTCTATACTTCTTGCTGATTGGCTGTTGGGATTTAACTTGATTAACACCTGCACAGAAGCATTTCCATACTGACAGTATGTCTGTATTCAAGTGTT